TGACAATAGAAGAAAGCCACTTATTAAAAAATATAATAATGTTCAAGCTCAATCTTTTTTTTTTCCAAACGATTAGATATTTCATAAATCAATAATAAACGTTTACAATCGGAGGACATACTAGTCCTTACAGAACATAATGAGAACCACTCCTACAAGGTGGCCTAGCCCAAACAACAAACAAGTGACCATGGCAAGACCTAGGTCAAGAAACCCAAAGGCACTACAACCAAACAAAAACACAAAGAAACAGGAAAACACAGAGAAGAACAAACTCCCATCCACTGACCTTAAAAGGACCTAGCTAAGAGAAAAGCGAAAAACAAACAAACATAAACTAAAACCAACAACAAACTAAAAAATCAACAGAACTCAGACCATTCACTGTGGGCAAGTCTAGCCACAGTCTCTTCAGGCAACCAAGTGTTTTGAAAAACCCATAAATTTCGGGACTTCCATAGCCACCACAATATGTAAGTTGACAGCTGAATTCTGGCTTCAACAATGGATGTTAACTTTAACTCAGAAAGTTGCCACCACCATCCTCTGAAGTCTGTTGTAGCAGCATCATAGAAGTCCCAGGTAACAGGGGAGGCTTTCCACACTTTCTGGGCTCTGTGGCAGTCAAACAGAACATGCTCAACTGATTCCAAAGCATCACCACAACATCTGCAGATTGCATCAACCCCCAACTTCCTTTTAACCAAATTCAGGCACACTGGGAGATTATTAGTGAAACATTTCCAAAGAAAATGCCTCAGTTTAGGCTTAACCCTCAAAGACCAGCATCTCAATCTAGCTTTTTTGTCCACAGTCAGGGTATAGCTGCAGCTTGGGGCATCCAGCTTTAATACCTTCTGATCAATTCCAACTGCATAGGCAGAAGCAACAGAGAATCTTCCCTTAACATCAGGACTCCAAACCCATCTCTCTCTCTCATCTGGGTTTAGATTTTTCAGAGCCAAAATAGCTTTGCAAGAAGACTGAGTGAAGAGATGCTGTAGTAAATTAATATTCCAAGACCTCCCAGAATCAGACAAAAGTTCCCACACCCAAGTCACCTGCAGACAGTCAACATTAGGATTGATTTCAGGAATGCCAGAATTAAGCCCCAGTACCCAAGGATCAGACATAATTTTTGTAGAGACCCCATCCTTAATCTGCATTCTGAACATGTCCTTATGAACATTCAACACTCTAGCCCAAGAGTTCCAAAGCCAAGAGGCAGAGGTTTTGCATTTAGCATTCAACACACATCCATCAGGAAAGTATTTCTCTTTCAAGATTATGGTCATCAAAGAGTTTGGTTTAGTCAGCAACCTCCAAATCTGTTTCAAAATTAAGGAATCATTGAAGACTCTGAAATCTTTGAAACCTAATCCCACAGCACTCTTAGGAGTAGTAGCTTTTTGCCAAGACAGCCAATGGATTCCTTTCTTATGATCCTTACCAGAAGACCACCAGAAATCAGCACACAGCTGTGCTATTTCCTTACACACTCCAACAGGTAAGCAAAAACAGGACATAACAAAGATAGGTAAGGCAGATATAACAACATTCAAGAGAACCCCTTTACCAGCAAATGACAGAAACCTATTTTTCCAGCTTACAATTTTCTTTTTCACTGCAGCAGTAACAAACTCAAACATCTCTTTTTTAGATTTACCAATGCCCAGAGGGAGGCCTAGATATCTGGATGAAAAGCATACCTCAATCCCCTGAAGAAACTGACATATATTAACTTTCAGGTTATCAGTGGCATTCCTGCTGAAAAAAACAGAGGATTTGGATAGATTGACTTTCTGCCCTGTGAAATTTTGATAAGATGCCAAGATCCTAAGCAAGCTCTGAGAGTTTTTAATATCAGCTGAGCAAAATAAGAGAGCATCATCCGCAAACATAAGGTGGGACAGAATAGTGCCACCTCTGACTAGACTCAGACCCTGCAATTCACCTCTGGTAACAGCATTATCTATCAGCTTTGAGAACACCTCAGAGACCAGAAGGAACAGATAGGGAGAAAGAGGATCTCCTTGTCTTATGCCATGAGTAGGAGTAACAAACCCAGTCACATTTCCATTAACATTGAAGGAGAACACAGAAGAAGATACACAAGCAAAAATCCATTGCACAAAGGTAGATTTGAAGCCCATTTTCAGCATTATCTTAGCCAAACAATTCCATTCTACTCGGTCGTAGGTCTTCATCATGTCAAGTTTAACTGCCATAAAACATTTACTCCCAGACCTAAGTCTATTAAGATAGTGAATTACTTCATGGGCTATCACCACATTATCAAGTAGTTGCCTCTCCGAGATAAATGCAGATTGAGTTGCACTAATGCAGAGTGTCATACATTCTTTTAATCTAGAAGCAATCACTTTAGCAATGATCTTATAAGAGACAGAGCACAAGCTAATCGCTCTAAATTGAGTAACCGATTCAGGATTATCACATTTAGGGATTAGAGTAATGATAGTGTGATTCCAGCTTCTAGACAATCTACTAGTTTCAAAGAATTTAATAACAGCAGCACATACATCATCTTTAATGAGAGGCCAGAAGTGCTGATAGAATAATGGAGTCATACCATCCTCTCCTGGCGCTTTATTTGGATTCATGGAGAACAGTGCAACTTTAATCTCAGGTTCATCAACAGGGGCCACCAACTTCAAGTTATCTACCTCAGAGATGACAGTGGGAATAAGTGGTAAGATCTCTTCTTCACCCCAAGAGCCTTCAGTAGTAAAGAGTTGCTGGTAGAAGTTTATGAAACACTCATCAATTTGCTTCTGCCCCACTACAGGTCTGCTCTGAATATCCACAACTCTGCAAATAGCATTTTTCTTCCTTCTGTGCATAGTAATGGCGTGGAAGAACTGAGTATTTTTGTCACCCCCTTTAAGCCACTGAATTCTAGCTTTTTGTCTCCAAAACTCCTCCTCAGCTAATTTGATTCATCCAGCTCCTTCTTAATCTTTTCCCACTCATGCCAATTTCTCTGCCCACCCAGCTCTCTCATCTCTTCTAATTTTAGGGAAAGTTCAGCAATCTTCTTGACATTATCAAATTTAAAGCATTTATTCCATCTGAGGAGAGCCATCCTAGTCTTTCTGATCTTCTCTTTAACAATAAACATCAGAGATCCCTCAACTGCCCCATTCCAAGCTTTTTCATCTTCTTTTTTACAGCCCGGTTTAACTAACCATCTCTTATCAAAACAAAAACGTTTAAAGAACTGCGATTTTGAATTACCAGACTCCAGAATAATCATCGAGTGATCAGATGAGCTCTTAAAATAAGAATGTACTTTAGCCTTCTGATTCTCAGCCATCCAAGAGAAGGAACCAAAAACCCTATCCAGCTTTTCTTCTATGAATTCCTCATCCCTTCTATTGTTACACCAAGTAAAAGGATAGCCTTCCATTTTCACTTCCATCATACCCATTCTTGCAATAAAATTATTGAAGTCCTCAAAACTCCACTGGCCTCTAACTCTCCCTCCTCTCTTCTCAGACTCATCACAGATATCATTCCAATCTCCTCCTATGCACCACTTGTCCCCCCACCTGTGTTGACTGCTTTCAATCTCTTGCCATTGAAAACTTCTCACAAGAGGATCAGTACTAGCATAAACCAGAACAAGCCATTCACAAACATCTGAAGAGGGGAGCTTGTATTCTACTTGAAGACAGAAATGAAGATTGATAATTTGAGAGATGATCACATCCTTACATCACAGCAAAAGTAACCCACCACTTAACCCAACCGGTTCCACTGTAAAGCTTCTATCAGCAAAGCCCAGCTTCTTGCAAACTGTATCAGTAAAGGATTTATTTCTCCTAGTTTCAGATAAAAAAACAAAATTGGGAGGTGGATCCTTATGGCATCCTTGAGCTGGGAAACTGTAGAGGGTCCTCCCAGACCTCTACAGTTCCACAAGATTGTCTTCATTTGTCACTTTGGGGCCATTTAAGGCTGGCTACCCCCACCTGTGGAGACTGAGCTCCTTCACTCTTTCTGGTCCTCAATTAGCGTGTTCTTCCTCCTGATCAACAGCCTGAGCTAGTAAAGGTCTGTTTCTTTTCCCAATAGTATGTGTTGCAGCCTCTATTGGTGTCTCCATGGTTCTCTGAAGTCTACCTGATTCAGACTTCTTCCTCTTCCAGGTTGAAGAGTTAGGTTTCATCACCAGATCCAATCCTGTTGGTTTTGGTACTATAGTCTCTTGATCTCTGACTGGTATCATCATATCCTTTACAATCTCCTGATGAATTTCCATCCTCTTGACCTCCTCAACTTCTGATTGCACCCATAGGCTTAAGTTATGATCTTCCCTTTGAATCACAGGTTGAAGGTTACCTGTATTAATCTCAGAACTAACCACCAAAGCTGTAGATAGAATGTCATTGGGGTGATCAGACTGAGGAATCCCTCCATTGGATCTACCCATTTCCTGCTCTGCATTTGTTGAGTTCATCTGCCCTGGGTTAGAGTGATTCCCTTGAGAGTGCAAGTTGCTATTAGTTTGAGAAGGAGATGAGTTCTGAGATGACCCTCCCATTCTACCAATTTCCATCGCTTTCAACCACTCACCAAATTGACCCACCATTTGCTTGCCTTCTTCAATATCCTTAGCTCGGACATCACATGATCTCTCCAGATGACCCACAATCCCACAGTAATAGCAGCAGCTTACCAATTTTTCATACAAGAAGGTCACACCCAATCGTTGATCACCGAGTTTAATATGAGCACATCTGAGAATAGGTTCAGAAATATCATGAGAAACCAACATTCTCAGATAACTACCTTGAGCCCCTCCTGATTTCACCACCACAACATTTTTGATCCTCTTGAACAGCCTCCCAATTTTCTGACCCACTTCTATGCTTAGCCAGTTCAGAGGAAGCTTATGCACTTGCACCCATAGAGATATTTCGTTGAAGCTCGGGTCCTGGAAAGACAAGCCTTCTCTCCAGTCTTGGAGCACCAAATATTGGTTTTCGAAGACCCAATTGACTCCTGCTAAAACCTTCTCCTTGTCCTCCTTACAACCAAAGATAAATTGGAAGATATTTGCCTCAACCTCTTTAACCTCAAAAGCCATAGATGTTTGCCAGACCACACTCATCATACGTTTAATCCCAAAAATGCTAGCTTTGCGGTCGCCAATAATTTTCCCAAGAACACTTCTGCGGCATTCCTCATCACTAAGTTTAACATCAGTTGTATCCAATTCCACATCCTTGCTCTCTTTGAGTGACAGCTTCAGAGCTTGGAATTGATCCCCCAAATCTTCGGCCATGGCCGAACCCTAAACTGGAACAGCACTTACACCCACAGAGTCGGAAATAAAATATGACCACAGGGAGAGCTATGAGCCCTGAAAAAACCCTCCCAAGTAGAGAATCAAATCTCCGACAAGATAATCTCGCCTCCGATGAGAGAATTCGCTCTCCGATGAGAGAATTTTTTCTACTATTGACTTCTTGGATGATTGTTCAAGCTCAATCTTAGATATAATGTTAATTAGGAGTTAAGGTATATAGATAAACATTGCTTAATGTGAAATTGATTGATAATAGAAGAAAGTCACTTATTAAAAAATATAATAATGTTCAAGCTCAATCTTAGATATAATGTTAATTAGGAGTTAAGGTATATAGATAAACATTGCTTAATGTGAAATTGATTGATAATAGAAGAAAGCCACTTATTAAAAAACATAATAATGTCCAAGCTCAATCTTAGATATAATGTTAATTAGGAGTTAAGGTATATAGATAAACATT